TGTACCGTCAAATCAGATCTGACTGGTACAGGAGGATATTGCGCCTCCTTCTCCGGCAGAGCATCTGGTTATTCTCTTATTTTTTTACATTGTTGTAACATTATCTGTGACTGCATGTAATATTCCTTGAGCAGATTGGAAGAATGTAACAATTTCCAAATTCTCAAGCTTCTAGGTTGCATTCAGTTTTACTCATTTTTTTATTTTATTATTATTATTAGGGTTTTTTTTAAAGGAAACAACTTTTTATTTTTATTTTATTATTTTGTGTGTGTGTTGTGTGTACCATCAAATCAGATCTGACTGATACAGGAGGCGACTGTTCCTCCTTCTCCAGCAGAGCATCTGGTGGATTTGAACTGTGCACCTCTGGGATTGCACTACAAGTTTTACTCATTTCTTAATTACCCTTTGAAATATCTTTGTTATTTATTTGTGCCATCAAATAGATTTTGACTTACAGTGACAATATATATGACAGAATGGTGGATCTGTGGTGATTTTCCTCACAGAGCTACTAATGGGTTCTAGGCTGCCAACTTTTTAGGAGTGGCGTTCACTTCCTGAATAACGTGCCTCTGGAAACTCGATGAACTTCTTTTTGAGTAGCAGTTAATATATAACACATTTGCATGTCTTATATATGTGTTAAATACTTATTTGTGTTGTTAGTATGTGCTTTTGAGGCAAGTACCACTCATAACAACCTCATGCAAAATGAATTTGAACCTTGTGCTATCCTGTGCCATCCCCATCATCTCTGAACCCATTGTTACATCATCTCAAGCCCATTGTTACTCTCACTGCATCAGTTCATCTCATTGAGGGTCTTTCGAAGCATAATGTCCCCTTTCCAAGGATCAGCTGCTCCTGAAAACATGGCCAAAATGTATGAGACAAAATTTCACCATTTTTGCCTCTAACCAGCAGGCTATTTATATTTTAAAATATTCTTGTTCTTTTAGCAGTCTGTGAGATATTCAGTACTCTTCTTCAACACCACAAACCAAAGGCATTGATTATTCTTTTGTCATCTTTACTCATTGTCATCTTTACTTATCCAATCTCAAATGTATCTCAAATAATTTAATAGGGGAAGCTTAGTTGTTAAATTGACATCATTGTTCCTTAACATCTTGGAGAAGTCTCTGACAGCACATTTTTTCAATGCAGTATATTGTTGTTGTATGCCATTGGGCTTACTACAACTCATAGTGACCCTACACACAATACCTCTGAATCCTGCACTATCCTGAGTCAGTCTCACTGACTACACCCACCCTTATCACCCCAGTTACTTTGTGATTCCAACTCATCTGAGGTCTTTCTCTCCTTTTCCAAGCGTAATATCCTTTTCCTAAGACTGGTCCTTTCTGGGTATATGCCCAAAATATGTAAGATGGAGTCTTTAAATCCTTGCCTCCAAGGAATAGCTTGGTTTTACCTTCTCCAGGACAGAATTGTTAGTTCTCTTGACAGTCTGTAGTAGGTTCAATACTCTTCTCCAGCACCACCACTCAAAGGTATCTATTCTTCTCCTGTCATCCTTAGTCATTGTCCAACTCTCTGATGTATAATAAGTAATTGTGAAGACCATGGCCTAGATCAGGTGCACCTTAGTTTCTACTGACATTATTTCTCCTCAGCACTCTGCAGAGTTCCCTGACAGCAGATTTTCCTAATGGAATTAATCTTTTGATTTCTTTACTGCTGGTACTAAGAGTCTTGATTGTGAAATCAAGCAAGCTGAAATTGTTAACAATCTCAATCTCTTCTCCATTTATCATGATGCTGCCAATTGGTGCAGTGGTGAGAATCTTTGTTTTCTTGATAATGAGCTTCGATCTATATTGAAGGCTGCGGTCCTTGACCCTCTGCAACAAATGCTTTAAGGGCTTCCTCAGTTTCAACAGGTAAGGTAGTGCCATCTGCATAGTGCAAGCTATTTATGAGTCTCCAATCTTTATACCACATTCTTCCTCATAAAATCCAGCTTTTCAAATGATTTATTCTGCACACAGATTGAATAGGTTTGGAGATAGGACATATTCCTGATGCACTCCTCCCTGATCTTAAATCACGTAGTGTTACCTTGCTCTGTTCTGATTACTGGTCCAAGTATAGGTTACATATGAGCACAGTCAAGTGTTCTGGGATTCCTGTTCATCTCAAAGTTAGCCACAATTTGTTGTGACCCACACCATCAAATGTCTTTGCATAAGCAGTGAAACACAGACATTCCTCTGGTACTCTCTGCTTTTGGCCAAGATTCATCTGACATTGACAGTGATATTCCTAGTGTCATGGTCTCTTCTAAACCCATAGTGTATTTCTCTTAGTTCTCTGTCAGTTCCAGTCACTTTTGGATAATCTTCAGCAGGATTTTGCTTGCATGTGATTAGTGACAGCTTTTAATTTTTTTGACTGCTGATACCAAGGATACTGATTGTCTATCCAAGTAAGATGAATTAGTTGACAGCTTCAGTCTTTTCTTGATATATCATGATGATGTTGTCTTTTGGCCCAATGGTGAAAATAGTTGTCTTCTTGATGTTGAGATGTAATCCATATTAAAGACTATGCTTTAATCTTCTACTGCAAGAGTTTTCAATCCTTGTCACTTTCAGCAGTCAAGGTTATGTCATCTGCATAATGTTGATGAATCTTCTTCTCATTTTGATAAAATATTCATTTACATATATTTCCAGATTTGATGTGATTATTCGTGATTAAAACAGGCTTGTCTTAGAATGAAACCAGGCTGCTTCTTAGAGGTATAGATTCTGAGGCTTCATCTGACATATTTAGGCATGTTGCAAAGAGGGACCATCTTTGGAAAGGAACATCATGCTTGGAACAATAGAGAAAGAGAGGAAGACCATTGATGAGATGGATTGATTCAGTGACTGGGGTGATGAGGGTAGGTGTGTCAGAGACAATAAAGTTGACACAGGATAGAGCAGGTTTCAGGGCTATTGTACATAGGGTCGCTATGAGTCTCAATTGGGTTTTTTATTGTGAAAAACTTGTATGGGCATACAAGGAGGTGAGGGTTGGGAGCAGAAGGGTAAGGATGGGCAGGGATGAAATTGCAGGGATGCAGTTGCAGGACTGCACAATTTGGTGGGTGGGTGGGTAGGTTGAGTAGGTGAAGGAAATGAAAAAGATCCAGTGGGGACCAGACGATACAGGGCAAGCATAGTCCAATGGTGATTAAACAAGCTGTCTTACTCACTTATGTGTTTCTCATTTGGGAATTGGGCGCAGACTCTCTGCCTTCATGCTGAACCGGGGCATTGATGTGAAGGGGGAAAGGGAGCACACTTGGGTTAAAGCTGCTTGCCGCCTTGTTCTCTTAGAAGATATTTTCCTGATATTTACTCCCCTCTGTACTGCAAAGTGTTTTCCAGTGGGGATGGCTGACTGAACCCTGAGGCTCCATCCTCCTTTGCTTCCTTAGCTGGCATTTGTATTTCTTGTTTGTATCTGGAACTGGGTTCAGGGTCAGGTCTGAAGTAAAACTCAGTGTTAAGGTTACATATAGGAAAGGGAGCAAACCTAGAGAGAACAAACTTGTGAGTTACAAATAGAAGGGCTTTGGAGGTATTACTTACGGGTGTACTGGGGGAGAAATGTAGTCTAGATAAAATTCTCTGTATACCCTAGGCAGTTTTTTCTATCCAGGGGTCAGATGACACAACCCTGAGGCTGATAAGCTCACCCTGAGGACCAAATGGCTCCCCCCCACAAGGGCCAGGTGGTTTCCCCTGAGGGCCAGGTGGCTCCCCCCCCCCCACCCTCTCGAGGGCCAGGTGGCTCAGAATAGTACTTTTTTTATGATGCTTTTAACAGAATAGGCATCATCTCCATTTTGGAAGAAATGACAATTCACTTTTCTTTTACTATGTTATTTTGAAATAATGTTACTGTTTTTAGGTGCCAACAAGTCTCCTGCAGGTCATAGCAACTTTGAACAATCTGGCCCTGTTCTGTGTTCTCTGTACCATGCTCAAGCCTGTTGTAGTCACTGTGCCAGACCATTTAGTTGAGGATCTTCCTCTCATTCACTGATCCTTTTCCTTTCCCAGCATGATATCTTTTTCCAAGGACTGACTATTTTCCAAGGACTATCTCAAAGTATGTGAGATAAAGGTTCAGCATCCTTGCCTCTAAGGAGCATTCCCATTACACTTCTTCTACCAAGATAGATTTATTTGTTCTTTTGGCAATCTGTGGTATAATCAGTTCTTTTGGCCAGTACCACGATTGTTTTTCAGTCTTCCTTGTTTGTTGTCCAACTTTTTTTTTAAAAAAAATTTTTTTTTAATTTTTTTATTTTATTATTTTGTGTGTGTGTACCGTCAAATCAGATCTGACTGGTACAGGTGGAGGACATTGCCCCTCCTTCTCCAGCAGAGTATCTGGTGGATTCAAACCGTGTTATCCAGTTTTTAAATGCATAGGAAACACTTGAAAATAAATGGACATTGTTGCTCTTTAGCACTTTAAAGAGGTTTACAGCAGATGTTCCCAATGCAACAAACAAGTCTTTAGATTTTTTTTTCACTCCCACCACGTTGAGTACTGATTGTAGATCCAAGTAAAAGGAAATCCTTGATAACTGTAGTCTTTTCTCCATCTGTTGTTAATAGCTTGTTGGTCAGGTAGTAAGGATTTCTTTTTCTTGATGTTGAGATATAATCCATATTGAAGGCTCTCATCTCTGAACTACTT